TTTTGTGAGGAGTGTAGAATTTTAAGACAAAATGTTGTTTAAAATTGTATTCATTATTTTTAGTATTTGTTCAACTAGTTAAAGTGAAAGCATTATTGATAGCTCATTAATCAAATCAAGCAGTAGCAGCACTAAAGATGACGCAGTAACTGTTGCAACATAATGACAAATAAAGCATCACCTAGTTGCAACTAGTTGCAGCTTATAAAATTTTGGAGTTGCAACATGTTGCAACAGATGACAAATAAGTATCAAGTACTTGTTGTGCCATCTCTAAGCAGCATCTTCCAAGTATTCACATTGTCACGATCAGACTCCTGGTAGGTATAATTGTGACATAGATGTTCAATCAATGTCTGATGATGATAATTTTATGATTACTTGATCTCATTGTAGTTGGTATACTTCGAGATCGTTATACAGTGCATTTTCTTCTAGGCTCTCACTATTACTAATAGATATTATGTCTACTTAGTATGGAACAGTCATATAGCAATATAGTACTGATATTCTATAGCAACTTTGGTAATTGTCCAATAATGTGCAATAAATACAAGTATTTTAATAATTATTATTTAATCAATTAAATATACAAATTTTATTAACAATAAACAAAGAACAGTTTATTGACTAGCAAGATTTTTGTATTGATTAATTGATACCTTTTTTCAAAGTCTCAATATTGCTTTATTTATAATAAATATTTTCCACTAATAAATATTACATTTATATGAAAATTATAAAAATTAAGATAATCAAAATTTGTCTAATTGATTTATATATAAAAATTATAAAGAATATAAAGTTTATGATGTTTTTAGAGTTTATAAAAATTATAAGAATTATGAAAATTATGGTAATTATGAAAATTATAGAAATTATAGAAATTATAGAAATTATGGAAATTATGAAAATTATAGAAATTATGGAAATTATGGAAATTATGGAAATTATGGAAATTATGGAAATTATAGGAATTTATGGAAATTATAGAAATTATAGGAATTTATGAAAATTATGAAAATTATGAAAATTATAGGAATTTCTAATCATAACACTGGGTAATTTTGAACTTTGGATAGATCTGGTTTTATTTTGTCTTTGTCAATTATATAACCAAAAAATGGTAGAAATTTTTTCAAAATAATACTTATCGGGTTGCACTTTTAAGCCTGCTTTTCTAAATTTATTAAAAGTTAATCAAAAATATTAAAGATATTGATTGAATATTTCAGAGTAAATAGTAGTGTCATTGATATATACTACAATGAATTTTCTAATATACTTTCTAAAAATAATGTTCATTAACTATTGAAAAGTAGTAGGACCATTTGTAAAATCAAATAGCATAATGTTGAATTCATATAGATATTGTTTAGTAATAAATGCAGTTTTATGACAATCTTCTGGCTTTATTTTGACTTGCCAAAATCTGAATGCTAAATTAATAGTTGAAAAATATTTTGTATTTTTGAATGAATCTAATAATTTGTCAACACGTGATAATAGATATTAATTATAATTTGTTACACTGTTGAGTTGATAGTAATTAATACATAGTTGAAACTTTCTATTTTTCTTTTTAACGATAATGACTGGAATAGATCAAGAACTTTCAAATGGCAATATGATATCTTCTTTTAACATTTTATTGATTTCTTTTTTCAAAAAGTTATTTTCAAGTAGTGATTTTTGATAATATAACTTTAAAGTAATGAAACATTCATTTTTCAAATGAATTTCATGTTGAGTAATGCTTGTTTGACCAGGTGAAGTTAGATCAAATAAATTATTATATTCATTAAGTAATTCTTGCATTTGTTTTTGTTGTTTTGATGTGAAATCACATTCAGTAATATTAAAATAAGAGGAATTTTTATTTGCTTTTGGTATTATTTCCAACTGATGATGAATATATTGTTCTTTTGAACAAATATTGCATTGATTTTTAGTATTGTGTAAACATTTATAATAATTTTGTAGCTGTTCTTGTTATATTCATTGAATAGTAGTTTGATCAATAACTTCATTATTAATTATTATATTTGTTTCATTGATCTTAATGTTGAGTTCTAATATGATTTCATCGACAAAAAGCAGTGACTGTTCCAGTAATTCTTCTTCTTCATATTCATCATCTTGAATATCAGTTTCAAATGGGATATCTTCTTCATATTCATTTTCAACTTCTTTTTCATTTTCATTTTCAGTTGTCGGTTGAGTTTTTGGTAATATATCTAAGTAACAAGTTATACAAGAGATCAAGGCACTGTGAAGTTCATTATTTATTATGAATGATAACTGTTAATCAAACCAATTTAAGATTACTTCATAACTGAAAGTCCAAATATTTCCAAGCAGTAAGTTATATTCTGCTTTTTTGAGTATAAGTACATTAATAGTATAAGGTTGATTTCTAATATTTATAAATAAATTTATGATTTCACCAAGTAATCATTCTGGAGTTTCATTAATTCTGATTAAGTTGATATTTAATGGTTTAGTTATTTTTTTATTGATTTTTTTCAAGAAATTGAATGATATAATGTTGTTAACTGATTCACTATCTATAATGATTTTTGCTGGATGATTTTCTATAGTTCTATTATAATGTATAGCATCAACTGGTTGATTATTTTTTTTTCAATTATAATTTCTGATTGTGAATTTTGATTGGCTTGATTTTCAAATTGATTATGAAGTAAAAGTTATTGTAATTGCTATTTTGATGAAGAATTTAATTGTTTTGCATTTTCACCTTTTCAGGAATGCAAAAATTAATTTAAATAATTATTGTTATTATTGTTTTGGTTATTAATATTTGGTTATTGAATGATATTATTGATTGGTTGTTGAATTGTATTATTAACTAGCTAATTATTAATAATATTATTATTATTACTATTAAGTAATGCTAATTGTAATTGTTGTAATTGTTATAAGACATTGTTGAGATCTATTAATTGATTAGTAGTAGTTGTTATATTATTAGATAATGATGTCAGATTAAATTACTTGATTGAAGTATTGTTAAACAATTAGATGCAACATGACCAATATCTCCACAAGTATAACAAGTAATATTATTATTTTGAATTGGTTTTCAATTTTGATTATTGTTATAATTATTATTATTATTATTATAGTTATTATTGTATGTTTATTGATTATTTTGAAATTGACAGTTTGCTGCTATATGTTCAATATTTCCATAAATATAACAATTAATATTATTGTGAATTGATCTTTGAGTTTGATTATTATTATAATTATTATTTTTGTTATAATTATTATTATTGTAATTATTATTTCAATAATAATTATTATTGTTATTATAATAGTTAATAATATTATTATTATTATAACTATTGCTGAGATTTTTCACTTATTTAGATAATTCTTGTAGAATTGTGCTAATATCATTATTTTAGTTATTTTCAACTGTCGATGATGAATTTGAGATTGGTGTTATTGATACAAATTGATAATTATTATAATTATTGATTAATAGATTAAAATTTTGTGATATTTAATTGTTGATAACTGCAGTAGAGAAAGAATTATTATATGTTTGACAGTAACCAGTTTCAGTTTGAATGGCATGATCAATTGCTTGGTTCAAAGTGGCTGGATTTTTTTTGTTGACAAAGAATGCAATTTGAGTATTGAAATCTTTAACGAATTCTTAGATTTTATAATGTTCTGAATAGTTATTATTTGAATTTATTTTTAATAGAAGAGATCTAACATCATTAGTATATTGTACAACTGACTCATTTATACTTTGAATTCAGATAGCCAATTATTGTTTCCACATGAATATTTGGGTATTAGTATGGAATAATAAAAGACAAATATATAGAAATACAATTGCTAATAGTGATTATACTTTGGAAGATTTTGAGGATTTATTTTTAACTCAGTTATTTATTGTTATTAAACTAGGAATAGTTGAATAAATGAATTAATATTATTTTGATTCCAGCTATAAGATCATTAATTATCCAATTATTGTTGTCATTGAAACCAATTTGCTGTGATTTCACATAAATATGCTGAGACGATTTGTTGTTTACACATATCAGAAATATTATTAGCATTTGCTGTGCATTTGAATTCATCAAGTCAGGCAATTGGATCTTTAATTCTATTGTTATTGAATATTAAAAGTGATACAAGAGTCAATTCTGGAGCTACTGGTTGTGGTGGTACTGCTAATATAAATGCTAATTGTTGCAAAGCTGCAGTTAATTGAGCTTGTGGATCTGGTTGCTATTGTGATAATTGTTGTTGTTGTTGCTGTTGCTGTTGCTGTTACCATTGTCACGAGTCCCAGGTTCAGATAGGTAATCTCATGAGATAGATGTTCAATCAACATCTATTTTGATAATTCAGTGATTCGATTCAGCTGCTTTAGAATTGTGACACTGTGTGGTGTCACAATCAGGCTTCTGGTAAGTGTTATTGTAATGTAGGTGTTCAACCAACATCTAATAATGGTATTTTTATGATTACTTGATCTCATCGTAATGAGTACCGTACAGTGCTGCCAATAGTACCCGGATACTTTTCAAAACTTGATATTCTAACTTGAATAGTATCCCCCTGGGTATTATGTATGGAAATGGATACTAAATATGGGGGATATTATGTATTATATAATGCTGCCAATAATATCCGGGTACTTTTCAAAACTTGGTGTTTTGAATAATATTCTTCCAGGCTCATAAATGTTATTTTATTTACAATTAAACAAAAATAGTAAAATATGCAAGTTAATCATCAGTTACATGTGGTTTTTTGTTTTCCCCCTGGATATTATATATAAAAATGAATACTAAATATGTAAGATGAATCTCAAAAAAAATATAGCATATGTATTATAACTATAAAAAGAAAAATGCGTAAAATCAATAGTATTTAATATTTTATACAAATATATTATCTATAAAAAATTCGATTTGTACGTGTAAAAAATATATCTTTAATACTTCAAAAAAATGCCACCACATTCAAATCGTACTCAAATTCGCGAAAGAAAAAGACGTCAATTTACTGCACGCGAAAAACTTACAATTTTAACATATCTTGAAAAACATCCAACAAAAAGTATTCGATCAACTGCAAATATGTTTAATATTGAACCTGTTCAAATTCGAAAATGGAAAGTGAAAAAAAAATGAACTTATGCGTGTTGCACCTCGTATTTGTCATCTTAATACTGGTGCTCGACCAAAATATCCCATTTTAGAACAAGAAATTTTGGATTGGGTAAAAAATATGCGTCAAAATTTAAAAGTGGTTACCTGAAGTATGGTTCAAATGAAAGCTAAAACATTATCTAATAAAGCAAGTTATCAAGATCTTTATCCGGATATTCGTGAATGCAAATTTAGTTCAAAATGGATAGATGGTTTTATGTCTCGCAACAAATTAAGTAATCGTCGACGAACAACAATTACCCAACGATTACCTGAAAATTTAATTGATGCTCAAAATGAATTTCTTAGTTTTATTCTTTATCGACAAATTCAATACGATTATCCTCTTTCTTTAATAGGAACATGGACGAAACACCATTATCATTTGATCTTCCAAATAGAATAACTCTTGATGAAACTGGCAATCATACAATTAGCATTTGTACTACTGGACATGAACGATCAAATTTTACAGTGGTTTTAGCCTGTATGGCCGATGGAAAAAAATTACCAGCAATGTTAATTTTTAAATTAGTAAATATACCACGGGTTACATTTCCACAAGATATTATTGTACGAGTAAATAGACAAGGATGGATGAATGCAGATGAAATGTTATTTTGGATCGAGAATATTTGGAATAAGCAAGCACCAATGTCACAGAATCCTCGTTCACTTTTGGTTTTAGATTCTTTTGCGGGACATCTTGTTGATTCAGTAAAGAACCATTTTCAAGAAAAAAATACGAATATTACTGTTATTCTGGGTGGATTAACATCTAAAGTTCAACCTCTTGATGTGGCAATCAACAAATTATTTAAATCAAAGGTAAAAAAAATTTATAATTAAATATTAAATATATTTATTTTTAAAAAAAGTACTAAATATTATATATATATGTGTGTGTGTGTATAGATTCGTAATTATTATAATAATTGGATGACACAAGAGGTACATACTTTAACTGCTACTGGCAGAATTCAAAAACCTAGTTACGACGTTATAGCAGAATGGGTAAAAAATGCTTGGAATGATGTTGATATTAATTTAATTCAGCGTTCATTTAAATGTTGCGGCATTTTCACTGAACGTAATGGAAATAAAGATCATTTAATTTTTGATTATGATCATGTTACTAATATACAACAACAAGAATGTGAAAGAAATATAATTGTAAATGATAACGAAAATGAAAATAATGATAATATAAATGAGGATATTAGTGAAGAATTCGAAGAAGATTATTATGAAGAACAAGAAATTAATTATTCAAATGAATGGGATTAAAGATTAATTTAATCGATATAATCATTAACGTTAAATAAAAATTTATTTTAAATTAAAAAAAATTGATTACGTATATAACATAATGAAAAATACCCAGGTACTTTTCAAAGTAAGCGGTCATGAGAATTGAATAATACCCGGGTATTTTATATTGGGGAGATTGTATAAAGGGGATATTATTGGCAGCGCTGTACAGTATACTTCGAGATTGTCACACAATGCATTTTCTTCTATCTTATAGATAAACTATCACTATTACTAATAGATATTATATCTACTTAGTATGGGACAGTCCTATAGCAATACAGTACTGATATTCTATAGCAACTTTGGCGATTGTTCAATAGTACGCAATAAATGCAAATATTTTAATAAGTTATTATTTAATCAATTAAGTGTACAAATTTCATTAATAATAAACAAGGAACAGTTTATTGACTAGCTAGATTTTTGTATTGATCAATTGATATCTTTTTCAAAGCTTTAATTATAATAAATATTTTTCACTAATAAATGTTATATTTATGATTAATTATATAAGTTGATAAATAATAGATACTATGTAAATGATGATAATTATAGTAATTGTTATAAATTATCAAAATTATAAAAGTTATAGAATTTATGGAAATTATATAAATTTCCAGTTGTAACATTATCTTCTGATGATGAATTATTTTGAACAAGTATTACCTCATCTTTATTGTTATTGTCAAAATTTGAATTAAATGATGAATGAGCTAAAGTGAATGAAAAATGGATTTAATGGTGCTAAAAGTTATTTTTTTTGATTGATAATAGTATTTTGTTTGGCTCTTGTTAATCAATCAGAAAAATAATTTCTTACTTCCAGTGTGAAAGATTGTTAAACTGTTAATTGATGTAGTATTAGTGGACGAGTTATTGTTTTAGATAATGATGGTATAGGTGAATTTGTTCTTGATTTTTGCTTGCGTGCTGTTAATTGTTGTAAATATTTATATCTTTTTTGTATGAATGCAGCAGCATCAGTTGATAAGTTTTCCAAATAGTGAAATACTTGATTTTTTGGCAATTTTGTGTGTGTGAGTAACCAGTTATAGAGTTGTTCTTTGATAAATTTATTGCTTTGATTATTTGCAGTTTCAGTATATTGCTACTGTTTCTAGTTCTTACATATGAGAATATTTAGAAATGGTTAACAGCGACTGTGTTCATGGCAGATTTTAAATAAGAGAGATATAAATGACAAAA